TAATGATGAGAGCAGCCGCTGGCTAGATATTTGAAGTAGCTGTGTGTAAATAACAATTATTTGATTCCTCAGGAGAGTTGGCTCTGTAACTACGGGAATAATAAGGTGTAATGTGGAAGTGAGTTGAGAAGGGGAGGTGTTTAATATCTCAAAGTCGTGTACAGTTGCGGACACTGGGTTTTAGAGTTCTGCAGGATGCCATTTCATCAAATTTCTCCAATTACTTCAACATGAGACGCATCTTTAGCTCGTACTAAATGCTTTCATACCACGAACCAAATTGCTACACGAGCGCTCCCACTTGCGTGCAATATTAGCTGCTAGTGGCAGCACTGCTTCCTCTCTTATAAGATCAGGATGCAGGACTAGGATAGGATAGGTTATTGAATTCTGTTGATCAACACCGTATCCAGCTGGCCCGAGTGGTCGCTAGTGCTCCAGCCAAGGTGCTTAGCCGCATCGTTAGTTTGGGAATGAGTACTGCTTGAGATATGAAATGGTTCTGGTTGTGGATTGAGTTCGTATTGGACACAACAAGTGGGACATTTGGATGCTATGGTGTCGGCTCAGTTTTGGGAAAACTTCACCGAGGTGGAGAATTGTGAGCGCGTGGGGTTCACGCGGAGCGGAGAGAGTGGAGTGCGGAACACGAGCCGGCCCATGAAGGCCCACCCAAATACATCTTATATTATATATAAGATTGAGATGTTTAGGTTTTTTTCTTGGGTGATGCGCAGGAGGTTTTGATTTCTTGTTTGCGGCTGCGGTACAAAACCGGGTGCAAGCTAAAGAATTTTTTTGGGTGTTAGGCGGCTGCAGCAAAGAGAACACGGAATTTGGGAGAAAAATTTGTGCAGTCTCTTCTTTGTTTTTTTGTGCATCCTTTTGTAGAGAGAGTTTGTGAGGGATTTGAGAGAGTTTGTTTGAGGGTTTAGATTGTGAGTGATTGTAAACCCTAGTTGTATTCTCTCCCTCTATTAGTGGATCTCTCCCCCTTCTTGCCCCGTGGACGTAGGCAAATTGTCGAACCACGTAAAAATTGGTTGTACTGCTATTTGTGTGATTTGTAATAGCTTTTAGGTTCCCTCGACGCGCAGTCCTAGAGCTGACGAGAGGAAGAGCAAATATCCCACTTTGATGAGATATTAAGCTTCAGATTCTTGTTCCCTTTGAGAAACAAGAATTCTTATTGCGACCTGACTCTCTTGTTGTGCTGCCGAAGTGCTGCCGAAATTTTCGCTGCGCGCAACAAGATGCACGATAGTTTTATCTGATTCATCTGCTAATATTGGTTAAAAATTTTAATCCTTTTAATCTTCAATTCCCTTTTTTTTTTCCCCTTAATTTTTTGTTTTTTTATTTCGCTTTCATGTTGGCCTACACGCCACTTTGTAATAGACATGGGCTTAGCACGGGTTTAGCACGAGAATTAGCGAATCAGTCGGCCAACAGCTCGATCAGTTTTTATCAAAAAATGATTAATTACTTGGCAAAGGAGCTCAAATTTCATTCTCTAATATTTTGAGCGCAGTGTGGAGTGTAGTCTAATTAGCGCTTTTTTTTTTAAGAGAGCACATCCATCCAGTGAACGCTGTCACAACACGGGGTTGATTATTTGGTGAATCTCACAATAACCCAGCAAAGAAAACATTCGGAAAATTTCCCACTGGGTGTAATTTTATGAAAATTAATTTTAACAAAAGACAGGACTTTTTTTTTTCAGTAGATGGAAGTGTACGTGGATCACATCCACCGTCGACCCAACATTAATTTCCGCCTCTTTAATTTCTGGAGAAGCTACCTACAGAATTTCCCCTGCACAGTTGGTACGTTCCCTGTCCCCGGCCGGCCGGCCGCCCACCCCGCCCTGTGAGGAGTACGTAAAGACGACAGTAATTAGATACTGTCGATCGAAGAACTGTATGTGCGCGATATCTCCCGCGGTTGGTCTCTTCGCATTCCTTGATTGTCTGACCGTAGCTATTAGTCAATTTTCCGTTTCTGGCCTGTTAACAGATCGATCTGTGCCGTACGTAAATGGGTTTCCTAGCTGGTCCTAACGCTTGAGAACTACTGTTGTACCCAAACGCATTTCCCCAGCTTCACACTCGGGGGCTGTTTGGTTGTCTTTTTTTAGAGGTTGAATCCCTGTCAAAACTGACAAAAACTGTCAGTTTTGACAGGAAATCACCCAAAAATGCTTCTAAAAAAACGTTTTTGCAAGATTCCCTGCTAAAACTGACAGTTTTTGTCAGTTTTGACAGGGATTCAGCCTCTAAAAGAGGCAACCAAACAGCCCCTCAAAGATTCTATCCTTTGGACTCGAGTTTTTTGGTGATTGTCCGGGTCTTTTTGATACAATGTTATGGGAATGACCGTGGTACGTGGTTCAATCCTCACTAGCCGTTAATTTAAGAAATTAAAAATCTAAAAAAAAATGATACCTCTACATTAGTTCAAGTATTGGCCTATAAAAACAACAGCTATTCTATACGGAGATATGTTAGCATATAAAATTATGACTCCGTATCCTCACAGCTAGCAAATTTCGAAGTCTAGCGCAGACTTTGAAATTTAGCTCAAATTATTTACTGTTTAGGCTGTAATTAACACGAAATTAAGTTTTAAACAGTTAATAAAAATCAGATATTAGCCGAATAAAATTATAACACGGAAATAAAATTTATTCAAAAGAAAATAAATAAAGTTTAGAAATATGGCCGGATGATCGAAGCGTGCACTAAGCATTGTCCCAAGAATCTAATTGTCCACTCTCGTACAGGGCTTCATGGCAATGGATCTTGGAGATACGACGACCATCGGTCAGGCGACCTCCTTCTCGTCGGCACGAGCTTCAAGAAGGCTTTGTGAGTTCTTCGTAAAATTTCAGGGAACCAGCATAAATGTAATAGAAAAAATAAATATTGA